CACACAGGCCGCATCGAGACAGAGACATGTTACGCCACCTAATTTTCCCTGATGCCCCCAGTCCCCCCTAATCGCCGTGACTCCCCAGACAAATCCCGTGAAATCGAACAAACGCACAAAGCCGGTGCTGCCCTAGTGGAACGGAGTACAAACTCAATCCCGTTTTCCGTTACGAAATGTCATCCCACAACCCAAAGCAACGACGCACTGAACCTCACAAAACAAGGTTTTGAATCAGAGCCCGATAACTACTGAGAGGAAATAAATAAAGACTTTGTAAATTTCTGGGTGCAACTATTACATACTGCCAGTCAGCTGGAGGCTTCTGGTTTTCCAAGTGTCTCAGTGGTTGATTTTACATTTCTTACTGGGTGAACCTCTCTGCTCAAAGCGCCAACACTAACTGCTAACACCTCACCTGCATACTGCTTTCTGGGAGACAAGGTCTTACTAACGCCCCCTAATTGCCATATGAGGAACAGCAGGCTCTCAACTCCAACTATTAATAAAGCAGCAGAGCAGCCCTTGTCTCAATTAGCGAAAATTTAGAACAGTGATCTTCTAGAAGAGGAGCAACGGCGGGCGGGCGGAGGCGAAACCCGAGGGCATCTATTCACGGTCACGTTTCTCTCAGATCCCAAAATTGGGCCAAAACAAAAACAGAGACAGATCCTGATGAGGCTAACAGTGGAGAATCTGACTGTGGCGTGTCAGAGATGGAATGTGGCCCAGAGAGGGAGAGGAACACGACCCAGCTCTGAGATGACCGCACTGTCTGGAAAAAGAACCACTTTGGGTTACGGACGGGGCAGGAGCTGTGATGGGACAGGGAGGTGGGGGTGCTCGGAAAGCACCACCCTAAGCTACCAGCAGGATTGTGGGGGGGGGGACTGCAGGGGTGCCGTTCCATCTGGGCTTGGGACAAACTCTGTCTACCACGAGAGACAGGTGGGCAACATGGCATTGATGTCAGATCTGTGGCGTCTAGAGAGATGCAGCCCAGTGGGAGGAGCGGCTATGGAATTAGCGTAGATTACGTCACGTCAGGATTATATTACTGTACCGATAATACCCACTGCGAGGCGGTCTTCCGAGTAACAGAGCAGATCGACGGTGGTCTATCATCACACTTTGACTGACCTTCTACAGCAGAAAAAGATGAATCACTCACAAGTTAGCCACAAATCTGAGACATAAATCATTTCAGGAGAATCTGTCTGGATGTTCCTGTGAAAAGCCCAGCCATACGAGGAGGTGCTTGAGGTAACGCTTCCTGTCTGATGATAAAACTTTGCCCAGACTTTTTTTGAATATCCCACAAAAACAAGCTTGTGATAGTTTTAGTTACACAAATATGTTCTGAGGGCAGAAGGAAAAGTGATTGGTTCAGAGAGATAACCAATCAGATTGCAGGTGAGGTGGGACCGAGACTTCCGATAGTTTGGTCCCACCTCCTGTACAATTTGATTGGCTTTCTCTATTTTCTCAAAATATTTTTGTGTAACAATCCCCCCACTCCAGGATCTCTTTCCTTGGCCCTGAACATCTGCTGCTCCATGAGTTCCTGGCAGCACCAGTTGTTGTGTTAACCGCAGAGGTGATTAGCGCCGATTATCACAGGCTTTCCAGAGCTAGCCACACCTCAAATGTTTGCTTGACATTTTTAGCATACCCAAACATTTAAGACAGAAGACGGTCCCAGGGAGGGGACAGGCCAGAAGCAGGGGCTGCTGGGATATCTCAGTGATCACTTCAGTCTAGTCATGCCACCATTCAGACACAGCAACATCAGGGAAGGCAGAAAAGGAGTACTGGGCCATGAGTGCAACATCGGTCATGGGGGGGCGGGGGGGACGCTGTCACAGCCAGTGTAATGCCTGACCAAGGGAGACGTTCCCCCTGAAAAGCGCTTAACGGAGCGCTTTGCGAATGAACTCAGCACTAAACTTTTAGACAACACCACCACCTAGTGGTAAAAAAAGGTAATCCCCCTTTGTCCGGGAGCCATTTCTTAAACGTTGTAGCCTTGGTATTATTTACATTGGCATTTAATTTATTTAGTGGATGCTTTTGTCCAAAGCGACCTACAGGTAAGGTAGGCTTGGGGGGTCGGGGGGCAGAGTGTATCATTATCCAGTCTCATTCCTGTGTCCCAAGAAAATGGCAACAATTTCACTAAACATCCGCCAACTCAAATCCCCGAAGGGGAACGGCTGATGTACCTTGATGGCACAGAGCCATTCAGCTGAAGCATCTTTAATACAAAACGGTAACATAAAGGACAGTAACCCTGTAGGAGTAATAAATACTCCATACAGAGTACATAATACCACCACTGTAACAAGTAAGTGTTACATTGTATTGTCATTTATAGACACTTTGTCTCTTCCTTGAAAAAATTCACTATTTAATGTAAAATGTATCTTCTTACCTTCAGTTATTCTAGTGCCACATTTGACATCAAGGTTACTTTATAATTACTGCAGACGTGCACCCAAGACGGCAGTACACACCTGAACATTATATACCTAATGTTCAGGTATATACCTGTCCTGGGCGAGTGCGTGTCCTGCAGTCAGACTGTCACCTTATACATACATTAAACATTCAGTGTTCTCTAAACACTCACATACATAATGTCAAGGGAGACGGAGTTTATCTGTTGTCCCGATTAAACACAAACACAGACACATGTACAAATGTGTAGGAGATGTGAAAATGGCTTCACGTTACAGCAGAAGCTAAATGTAAGCATTGATTACAGATACGAAACACAGGAAAACCTGCAGCGGCGGTCAAAGGCCAAACTTTTATTACCAGCAAACATTAAATTATCACCAACATCAGACCATGCAAAAGTCATAGATTACACAGATAATCATACAAAACATCCAGGAAACATAATGAAACAGGTGATTATAAAATCAAAAGTGGATGCACACGCACACGCACACGCACACACACACACACACACACACACACACACACACAACTAGCATGCAGGTGGGGCCCGATCATGTCACTGGAACTGCCTCATTCCAGCACATTCCGCCTGATGAGTGCCATTTTAATTTAAGCCACTCGCTCCTGACTTAATTACGCGATGAATCCCACACAGGAAGCCGGCTCTCATTTTCCCGTCTGAGTAAAGCATTTTACTTACACAACATTTGCAGAATAATTACTGTTTGGCTGCTAATTCACTGAAGCAGGACAGATTCTGTGGCATAAACAGGTGCGCCTCCGCGGCTGGTTACGGCGGATCGGCTATGGCAGCGAGGCCCGGAGGTCCGGGAACGTGACGCCGCCTTAATCCGGTGCCACCAGATGAGCCAGCGACTCTCACCAAGATGCAAAGTTCTGAGGTGCTGCTTTCACGACGACCTCCAAGCCAGCGTTCAGAGGAATGCAGACACTCCACAGGGGCAAAGAGCAGAGATCAGCGTTACTCCGGTAACTGGGGCATCATGGTAAACAGACCCACTGCATCCAAGGCCCGTTTCAGCCCCAAACCACCCCCCATCCCCGAAAACACAAGCAACCTCAATGGAGTTTTATATCAAACAAAACTGTTCATGCGAGCTGAACTGCAGCCAACGTCTGCATGACTGCATCAGACTGAGTGTCCCACACAAGGTGCTCCTACGGAGAGAGACACGCAGAGGAGGATCCGGACGGGTTGCAGTTTTGCCCAGAGTGACCCTGAGTCCTGGGGGTCAGACACCCTGTGGGGGGGAGTCATTGCAGTCCTCATTAAAGGTTTCCCCAAAATGCAGTTCCTGTCCCAACAGGAAGGGGCTTCCGCTTCTGGTTCAACATAAACAGGTAGATTTACCTCGTCTACCTGCTATTTAAACATGGACACAGAACCCACACCACCGAGCAGGTGGGTCAGACCCCACATCATACTGGGTACAGGAGGGACCCCAACCTCATACTCCCACCTTCAGTGTCCAATCAGACCTCGTGTACTGGACTGTGGAACAGCCTGCCTGACGGCTTGATGATACCGGTTTTGGAGAGATTTGTCCCCTGGGAGACGGAGTGGGGGCCACCACTGAGCTCTCACAGAGGGGGGGGAGGGGGTGTCAGCCCTGACTGCAGGACGTAGGCTCGCTGGGTCGACGGCCATCTTGGTGAGGTCGCAGCTCATGGCTAGAAGGGCCGGTGAAGGAAAGTGACTGGGGGGGAGCCCACGCTGCTAGGGCTCTGGGATTGTGACTCATAGGAGCCGGGGGTGATGCCCACCATGGCGTCCACCTGTGGGGTCTCTCCGTGCAGAAAGTCATCCTCCTCCTCTGCAGGGTCCTGAAAGACAGCGGCCTCAGCCAATCAGCAAGTAGTGATTCCAAGCCAATAGCAAAGACCGAATTCCTGCCATTCCATCTGACATTCCGAGGAACTTTTGGGGCTTTTCCACTGGCATACAGGAACCCACCCGCACCTGAGCCGTACCGAGAAGAGAAACTAGTTACAGCGTGGTTCCAGCTCACTTTGGTTTGCCACTTCAGAAGAATTGGCTCAGTAAAGGCTTTGCGGGTTCTGAGAGCAACAGCGACGCAAGAGTGAAGAGATGCACAATTTACAATTCACACAGTGTATGATTTACTTTGTAGTCATTTCTGCTAGCAAGTCTAAGATTGCCGTCTTTGTTAGCATCAAATGCTAGCAGAATTAGCATTCGTTTGCACATATACAGTAAAACTGGTCTAAGTCGCCGGCTTGTAACTCGTCAATGTGCCTAAGTCGACGCTCAAGCAAAAGTCCCGATTTTTCCTAATGATGTTTCCTTTAAAATTCCTTGTGTAAATCGCCGCTTGCAAGTCGTCAAATTCCCTTAGTCGTCACCTAAATCCCGAACACCACAAATGAATGGATTTTCCTACCTGTAAATCGACACCCCAATCGCTGCATTCCCGCCGCCTGCTTGTCACCACGGCGTTGTAGAAACGGGGAGTCCCCACCTATCGCACTAGTCGCTCCCTGGTCTTAAGTCTCGCGTGTATAGTGCGGTGTTTTAGAGGTATGGTGTTATATTTACTAGTCGGCAAAACGGCGAGATAGACATAAGTCGCCAAAGTGTCGACTTAGAGAATTGACGAGATACACCTAAGTCGTTACTTTTAAGCTGGTCCCGCGAGTGTCGACTTAGACCGGTTTTACTGTATTTGCATTTTGAATCCATTCCGTTCAGCGATTCCTTAGTACTATTTTTTAAGTAGGAGGTGGGAAAGATTTAAGTTCCGAGTTATCGGAACGTATCAATACCAGTCTGTGGTACGGCTCGGTTCTTGGGTTCTTGGTGGCAGTGGAAAAGCGTACTTTGTCTCACCTTTCTGCCGGCGGTTTTGGGAGAGTCTGCCTCACAGTCGCTGGGCTCTTTCCACACCTGGTACAGAGGCTCGATGAGTTTCCCTGACCTGGTACACGAAGAACGCTTTTAAATCGCAGAAGCGCCAGTAGAAACACCACCCAAATGCGACTACAACCGCAGCGCTGAAGGAACCGGCCCATCGCAAGCCAGTGAGCCCTGTCTCCACCCACAGGCTTCTTCTCCAGTGAGAACCACACGGCCAGATGCCACCTATGTGGGGACGTGTGAACGCACCTCTTCAGCAGGTAGGGATCAAAGGGAAAGAAACTGTCCAGGGGGTTGGTGTTGGCTGGCTGGGCGTCACCCCCTTGGCCGCTTCTGACCACGGGCAGCACGAGTCGATTGTTGCGTTCGATGATGGTGTAGCAGAACACCAGCTGATACTTCCTGTGGAAAAACCGGCAGGAAGCTCAGGGACCAAGCGCCCTGCCCATCTCCTCAGGGGTTCAAAAAGCAGCAGCTGGATATTAGTTCACGACTCCACGACCAAACACTGCAGCCCTTGACACGACTGTTCACACCAGCCAGGGAAAGCCAGCATGGAGCCACATGGGCGTGGAGCCGATGCCCTACCTGGAGATGGCGGCGAACATGGAGGTGATGGGAGGCAAGCAGACCTTGAGGGGGTTCAGCTGACTCATCACAATGCGCTCCAGGTTCAGGCCCTGGAGGTAGGACAGACCTGGAAGCAGACGCACCAATCAGGGTAGAGATCAGACTGGCCCCGCCCCATTTCCCCCTGGAAGGAGCCACAACATCTGCACAAGGCAGAAGACGATAAAGTGGGAGGGCTTACACTGTCTGGTAATACAACCAAACAGAGCTCCTCCTAGTGGAATACCACCACAATAACAGCCATGTTGAGTCAAGCGACCCACCTGGCATCCCCCAGACCCCTGCCTGCTCACCTTTACGCATGCTCCCCTCCAGAATGGCCTGGTGCCTGAAGACCAGAGTGTAGAAGACCGCCTGGCAGGCCGCGTAGAACGGCCCGTGCAAGGTGACGTCGCAGAAGGTGGCGGAGTTCGCATCTTGGCTGTCGATGTACTGGTGCAGCCAGGGTACCAACAGATCCAGACAGGCCTTCACCGTGCTGGGAGGGACAGGCAGGATGAGCGAAGGAAGCGAAGGTGCGTCACGGCCCAGGAGAACCTACCAACCACTTCATCTAGTGGCGAAACTGCTTCCGATCGTTTATTAATACGGAGGCGGCGACAGCCTGAGGGAGAAGGACACTCACACCACGGGGACAAACTTGGCGCGGGCCAGAAAGCTGCCGACATAGCCGGCCGCGGTGTGGCGCAGCACCGCCGGCTGGGAGGGGCTCTGCAGCAGCTTCCACAGGTGCTCCAGGAAGGCCTCAGCGAGGCCCTGGGCCGGGGGGAGAAAGCGGTTCACGTGTCTGGAGAGGACGGCCAGCCGGCACGCACACACACACACACACACATGCCGGCGACTCACCAATCGGAAGCTGCAGAGGTAGAAAAGCAGGAACTGCACGTGGCAGGAAGCGTGCGTGGGGAGGATGAGCTTGTCGAATACCGACACCAGGTCCCGGTACAGCGCTTTCGTGTGCTCCAGGTGCAGCGAGCCTGAGCGAAGGGCCGACAGCAGGGGGCGTCAGCGAGCACACATTTCACTCGCCACGGCGATCTCCCTCACAGCTGCTCTAAAAAGCCTCTTCAGAATCAGACACTGAGCACTTTACTCCAAAATGAGGATTCAGATTCACAACCTGGGGTCCTGTAAGCATGACGAGCCGCCCTGACGCCCCACCACCGCCCCCAGGACCCTCACCGTTCTCGTGGCAGACGTCCTTCACGTACGCCAGCATCACGCACATCAGCATGTCCAGCTGCTCGGCCACCGGATGCGCCATGGCGCTGTGCTCCACAGCTGCAGGAGGTGCCCTGGGGGTCCCCTCCTCATCCTCCTGGGGGGGTTCGGGGCCTTCAGTTTACCTCACACTCACATTTACACCCCCCAAGACTCAAAGCTCTGCTTTCTCCATTACCATGTCGAACAGGCACTCGTCCTGATCGCCATCGCTGGCCAGCTGCTGGGCTGCGGCACTCTCCTCCACTTCCTCGATCTCCCTGTGGGGGGCGCTCACCTGTGATGGGCCACAGAAATCCATTTAAAAACTGTCAGGACATCTGTGCTTCTACACGAGTCCTATGGCCAACAAAACAAATTCACATTAAGAGAAGCCAAAGATGACGGGGACCAGCAAGGAGGCGGAGCACCCTGCCCACCTCCATCCCAACACCCACAGGCTTCACACTCACATCTAGCTTGAGCATCTTTCCCACGACCAGCTCCAGGATCTCCCGCCGCAGGACTGGGAAGAATATGGAGACCCGGAGCACGTTGTGCACGTAGCACTCCTGCGGAACGAGGGCATGTCAGCGGAGGCGTCACTCGACGCTAAAGGAGACAGCGGACGCCGACGGGGGGGCTGCCCTTACCAGCGTGCGCGCTGATTTGTGCATAAAAGGGAATTTCTCGCAGAGAATGGGCATCAGAAACCTGCTGGTGCTAAAACAGAAGACGGCACTGAGGTCCAGATCCCACAACCAATCAGCCTGTACTTGACACAGCCAGAGGTGGACAGTTCAGGTCCAGAAAGTACAAATCCAGACTAAGATTTTATTTCAACCAACCAGCTGACTATTCTCATTCTTTATCCTCATATAGCTTGCTGGTTTGACTTTGAATATAAGGGAGGAGAATTAAAACAGAGTTGATTTCACATAAATTCATATACATAGTGTAAGTGCAGCTTTAACAACACAGCTTAAGAAGCGTTACTTCCCTCTCCTATTGCTGCTCACCATTGCGTTTTGTTTACAAGGAAAGATCATCAGATTTTGAGCTCATTTTTATATCAACAAATAGGTTAATTTATTTTGGTCTTAATTTTGGTTGCTTTTTTCTAATTAGCTTGTATTTTTATTTACATTTGCATATGTCTGGTGTGACAATCACATGACATTGAAATACGTGGGATCAATTGTTCTGTTATCAACAGTCTGGGATTTTCTCATATGGAGGCCAGTGGAAGAGCCGACAAAGTACTACTTAAAGTTTGTTCGTTAATTTTGGAATGATGCAGGTTTCTGGAAATGCACGTAGACCTCACTTGTTCTTTACTTACGTTGTTCGTTATCTTGTTCGTTATTCGCTAAGATCGATTGCTTTCTGGAAAGCCACCCCAGGTCTAAATTCTTAAAGTGACAGTACCGTTTTACTGGAAATCAGCACGACAAATCAAGAATAATGAAATCGTCTCCCGAAATATTACTTGCAAACTTAAACTTGGATAATGTAACATACCTCATCTGAACTGCAATGGTCGATAATTATTCAAATAAAATACACTGAGCTTGGCCCATACACCTTCGTCTGGATTTTATTTTGAACCTGAACTATCCACCTCTGCCACAGCAATGTCACAGTCATTTAATTTCTAACATGATACTTACGATGGAACATATCGTCCAATCATCTGCAAACCTTGATGGCAACGGTCAAAGTTCCTGGGAAGGTCTTCAAACAAGGATAATGAATATACAGTGAAACAAGATCACTCCGCTTACGAGCGAAAACACCAAGGTTATATGTCAACGGCGCATGCGTAGCTAACCACCAATTAAATCAATTAACCTTCATTAAAATTACAACACAATTTGGTATCATTCATCACGACATTTCTTATATTGAAATAAAAACAAACATGAGATGAGACATCATGAACATAACTTACTTTCGTCGTCATCGTCAGAGTCTGAAATGTTGACATCTCCTTCCTGGACAATAATTCGCCCTGTTTTATAAAATAGACATATATTATGAACGAATGGCTTTAAGCATACATTTGACAGCTAAAGTTGTTCTGGATGGACATGGGCTCACCAGGTGTGAAATTGGAGACAATCATTTTCAGACAAGACCTCAGATAAACGGTCTGAGCAGAGACGAGGTTGCTCAGGAATGCCAGGTACTCCTCCACCACTGACGGGCTTCTTTTGAGCCATGGCAGTCTCTAAGATGACAAATACTGTATTACGGGAAAGGCGGCGTGGCATTGGCCGAACATCTGAGCGAGCTACCCAGCCTTTGCCAAGCTCACCAGGACGGCATACACCAGCTGCTCGTGGTCCTTGGTCAGCTGAGTTACACAGTTACGGAACTCCTGCAGCCAGTTAATGATCTGGGCATCCTGGTCAGATTGAGAGGAGCAAATTCATCAACGACAACGTGGAGATCTGGGTTCGTTCATACCGCAGAATAAGGTCCCGCACACGTAAACGGATTCCTAGTGCTGTAGTTCAGAAAACATGCTTACTTTGATGTCCGGGTCCGTCAGCTGGTGTTTTAACAACTCATAATCGCGCGTGTCACCCTTGAAAACACAAAGCAGAACGTTAAATATGGTATATTAAGAGACGATGTTTATAAATACAATATCAACCGGGGCCTCACTTGTTTAAACTTTGTCAGCGTGTCCACAACATTTCCCCCGAAGCGCACAGTCTTCACCGGCGGAGTGTTCATGAAATCCCTGTTCTCAATCTCCATGTTTTTACAGTCCTGCTAAAGATAGCAGAATGTTTGAACAACCGTGCTTGTAACTAGTAAATCACTACTTTATAATTATAGTAACAGATCGATAAACAGTTGGCTCAGCTGCAGCAGGACAGCACGAACACGTTCCTTAAAGTAGTTGCCAAACTGATTTTCCTAAATACCGATAATCACCGCGGCTATTCCCAAAGCAACATGTGCGTTTTAGCTCTTCCACCCAAGCGTCACGAGAGGAAGACCCGCCTTCCGCAGCACACCTTTGACCCGGATGTTGTTGCGAAAACAAACTATCGGCCGGAAGTTACAATGCAGTCGCCGGCATTATTGTGCTATTATTTCCATGTATTTTAAAATGAGACGCCGCTCGTAAAGTAATAACAATGCAGATGTAAATAATTACAAGATCTGGCACGTTCTATTAAGATAAATTTATGCTTATAGTTCATGCAGATTCTTTAGAAAAATAAACGAAGAGCTTGAACTCAATATTGGACTCGTCCACTATGTAAATGTACAGTAACAATAATAAGATTCTGTTTTGTGTTTTATACATTATATCGCCATTACTTGTTGTAGCCAAGGGGATACTATGCATTGATTGATCTTGTGTTCTTAAAAATCAATATGCGTAACTCGATGTATCAATGTCATATTGATCGTTTTCTGACGCCAGGTTTTAGAAAGGTAATCCCAGTTTGTCCACCAGTTTTAGATAATGTACCTGCAGGAACGGGAGAAACCCTTTTTCAGGATTATTTTTTTTACTGCAATGAAGATGTATGAACAACAGGGAGATTTTCACTCTGGTACTCAATGTCACCTTACCATATCGTTGAGTGGATACAAATGGACGTGGTTTATTAAAATGTATCCATCCGTCTTCCAACCATTTAACCAGCAGGACACAAGGCAGGAGAACACCTCGGACAGGATGCCAGTCCATTGTAGGGCACACAGTACAAAAAGCTCCAAATCACTCAGAGGAAACCACAATAATACGCAGGTTCCACACACTCGGTGCACAGGCGCCAATCCAAGAAGTGTGAAGCAACAGCGCCACTATGCTGCTCATATTAAAATATCAGGAGGGTTTAAATTCATTGTAACGTACACATATTTATGCGCAAATTCATAGACATAATTATAGAGAAAACAAATATGAAATAGATATAAACAGCTACAAAAAAGCCTAAGCTCTTTGTGGAAGCGCTTCATTGACTTTGTACTCTGCACCCCGTGAGTGTGTTTGCTGGTTTATGGTGTGTAATTACATACATGAATTTCACAAGTTATTTATATAGAGTTGTACGTTGTTCAACTGCTGACACTAGTTTGCAAATTTCTAAACGGCACGTCATGAACAACTTATAATATTTTAAATGGTTAGAAAATACAAACAAAACTATTTCCCCATTTTCAGCATTGTTCAGGTGATGTGGCTTTGGGGGGGTAAAAAAAGTTTTTTTGACATGGTAAAATGATATTGTAGATATTCTAGAATCTAGAATATTGCCATAGAACACTAAACAGTGAGCTAAAAGGTTTACTTTGTGTGTAGCTGCAAAACACTGCTGATTGAAATCATATTTTATTTAAGTGTAATCAATCAAATGTACAAAATAGTGCAAAATCCGTGATATAAATTTTCACAGTAAAAAAAGAAAGCACAGCGACGAAAGGATT